AAAGAGAATGTCTTAATAACAAAATAAGTCTGCTCTCCGTGTGACCTCCAGGTAGTCTGAACCGTTTCTCAAAACTGAGATAAAACACTCTTGTAATTCCGATGCCCATCTCCCTGAGCTGGTGAATCCTTTGGAAGTCACACCCCTGGGGCCTAGAAGGGACTTCTGAGAAAGTTGAAAGAAATTTGGAGGGGAGATGGGGCTTGGGTGCCATCCTTAGCTTTGTATTTCTAAAAACTGTGTTAGCAACTCTGTCAAATTGATCAGGCTCTGAGAGGCTGGCTGGTCACATTGGGGAATCTCAGTGAACTACAGTTCTGATGCTATCTTTTCCACAAGGCAGCAGACACACACCTGTGGCTCCATCCCCCCAGGTGAGATAACATCTCAACCATCCCAAAGCCTCGGGCATCTTCCCCTGTGCCCTCAAAGCAAATACACACAGCTCTGGGGAAAGCGCCTGGCACAGTGTGGGGGTTCCACTGGGGAGGGTCGGTGGGTGAGTGAGTGAACACACCTCAGCGATTCCAGTCTCTGACCCTGTGGACACATAAACTCGTTGGGACCCCCTTCTCTTGTTTGATTCAAGCGGACTTTGTTTCTTTCCCCGCCATTCATCATCGGGATATGTGAGTGCCATCGATGTGGCTCAACGTGTTGGTGCATCTGACTTTCACGCGTCTATACCTTTGCCCCTGTGTTTCAAGGCCCTCCCACCCTGTGGTGCTGTAGGAACCCAGAAGCTTGCTCACTGACACCTGTAAGCTTGCTCTCACCTGTCACGTGTTGATATGTGACTGATTTCATTGTATTGGGACGACTTGGTTTCTGAGACCACCTACTGCCTTTTCTGACCTCAGAGGGGTCTTCCGGGCACTCCAGAACCCTCTGACTGTCCGGAGCTTCGGGACTCTGAGCGTGCGCTTTGCTCTGGTTGCTGAGAAGGTCCTTCCGCCATGAGAACAGGCCTTGGTGAATTGGACCCTCCTGTTCTGATTGAGCGTCTCCCTACAGGTCCCGTCCACTCAGGACCCCTCTCCTCCAGGCTCCCAGCTCAGTTCCTATTTCAGTTTTGGAACCAGACACAGTTCCTTCATGACTGGCAACGGCACTGTAGTTTCTCATTGTTCCAAAGTCTGATACTCACCCTGCACTTCCACCCCGGCTGCCACAGATGGGTGTGAAAATAATACCAGCGCTCCCCGTCCTAAGAAAATGAAGCCACGTTTTAAAAAAAATATCCACATCTTACACATTTTTGCTCCTTGTGACAACATATGTATACCCACTCAAGCACTTTGAGTTTAAAAATGAGTATTACCAATGCCTTCCTTTATATTCAGGAACATTTTCAGCTTTATCATAGGACTTTACATGTATCCCTGTGATATTTCACTCTCTTCTCACACAGTCAATAGGTAAAGCAACTTTTAAGATAAGCACCGTTTGTAATGCAAATAAAGGTAGTTAAATTTTCCCCAAGTGCAAAATGGGTTGGTTTTAATTGCTTGAGAACTGATATATATATATTCATCTGAGAAAAGCCTCCTAGAGCTGGGACCTCTCTCCTGTGCAATGCTCTACACACACACACACACACACACACACACACATGCATACACACACAACATTGTATTAGATCCCATTTACTGTGCATATGTGTTTTGTAATAGGGAACGTTCTAATTTACATATTTCCCCCCTAATAGCACCTCATAGTCACACAGGAGGGACTCCGCTTCACATAATGAAGATTGAGGCTCAGAGAGGTGAAGGGACAAAGTTGGAGCTAAGGAGAGATCCTGTCTTCGGACCTCACTGCCTTTTAAGTAGCAGATTTGCAGCAGAAACGTCAAGGGTTTTGGTTTGAGCTTCAGCTCTCATCAGATAGAGCAGAATGACCTTATTGGGAAATGTTATTTCAACC